CACGTGGGGAAAAAAACGACGCCTGATTTAAATGTCACACCTGAACGCTCACATCCTTTTAATTATGTTTGAAATTATGAACATTGCTCAACATCGTGAAAATTAAACCTTATTTTCAATAAGCAATCCTGAAAAATATTTGGGGGTGCTTAACTTTTTTCCAGGTGTATATATGCTTATTTGTTATAATTGAAAGTACTGATAATTCCAGCTCTCCCTAACTAGTAAAGAATATATTTATTTTAGTATATTCAGTATTCTATTCTGCATATATTTAGTCTGAACCCTTGTGAACATGTCATAAAATTATGTTCATCCTCTAACTTAGACAAAGCTTAGATACCAGAACAACTGTTCTGTAAAGACTTGTACTTCGTTGAATCTCTTTCTGTGCCTTACCCTCCTGGAAAGAATTTGTACTCATTTCAAGGGATAATTAAAACTGTAAAAGTTAGTGCAAGATGAGAGGGGGGTATTTCCCTTCAAATTCTGTAAAGGTCATTGCTGTAGGTACATAAATTTTCATCTGACTTGAAAGTTTGGCATCATTGATTGTTGCTTCTATCTCTGCAGAAATGATTTTTCCAGCTACAGCAACCAGAGAACTTCTACTTAACAAACACAGAAGGTGGCCAGTTTTGATAAATCTCTTGTGGTTTGTATGAATAAAAATGTTTTGTTTTATGTATTCACTTTGTTTTTCATTTGCTGTTAATATTCATTTTCTTCTTTGTTTAACACTTCCTGAATCTACTGTGTATTGCAGATGCCCAGAAATTTCCTGTTGGTAATCAGTGCATCTGATTACTGTATATTAGTACTTGCTTCTATCATTACTCAGAACAAACGGTAAACAAATTATGAACTTAATTTCCTCTGAAAATAATTGTTAAAATATCATATTTAATGTGCCACTTTATGGTCGTTCTCGCTTGCTAATGAAATGTGCACCAATTATTGCATAATTCTGCAAGAAACATAACAAAATGTCACGTACTCCGTAGAATACAGAGTGGCCCAAACAAATGTACTCATCCTTTAAGTTATGGAACTTCTGTGTGTCGATTCTAAATGTCTCAGGAAGTCTAAAAATAAACCCAAAACTATTGACAAATTAAAGCAACAGATCACAAATACTTTCCATCGAATCAGAGTTGAAAATTGTGTAACAACATGTCAGGTACTCCGTTGTAGATGTCATGATTGTCTGAATGCTGGTAGAGCCCAATTTTAACAGCTCAGTTGATGCAACAGTGTATGTAGAGTTAACTTGTTCTATGAAATATTAATAAAGATGTTTTTCTGGCTCGTAGGATAGTCATATGACCATTCAAAATGTGGGTACATTTTTTGGGGCCACCCTGTATAAAAAGTGCATCTTTCACTTTAAAAAAATCAAACATCAAGCACTTTGAAGATCAGAACTTTGCTACAATTTATAAAAAAATTTAAAAAGGCACATTTCCAAAATACAATTACCTTTTCCCCACCCCTTCCCTTTGTTCTTGAGAAAAATTAAATTTAAACAAAGCCAAAGATTACAGTTTAAAATGCTCATCTTTATATAAAAATCTGATCAAGATTATAATATGCATGCTCAATAAATGGACTTTGAATTTTAGTCCTGTGATATAAACAAAATTTCTAATTAACTCTATGCCATTATATTCATAGTATTACTTTAAGTATGGTATTAATGTATCAGAAAATGTTCAATTCCAATGTTTTATTTACAATAAAATCTACATGTGTACAGAAGATTCAAAAGCAGTGTGTACAATAATAAGAGTATTTGCAACCTTCTAACAAACATAATTTTTAGTACTTAAACTTTTATCACTTCAATTAATTTTTTCCTACTGACAATTTTACATTAAATACAATCATTTAAAGTTAAACTTGATAACCCCAAACACAAGATATTACATTCATCCAGTTGTATATTTTAATACTGTATGTATTCTACCAAACTGCTGTGCTTCAATATGGATACTTCATTTCTAATAATCTGTTCAAAAAAGTGTTGTCCTTACAGAAATGCCAAGAGATGAATATTGGCAAAATCAGTAATATTTCATTCTTAATATAAAAAAAACGTTTTATGTAACTTTTTAACAGCATAATCCCAATTTCTGTAACAACCTAATATCATATTCATATATTTATTAATAATTTCTAGTTAAACCCCAAATTCCAAAAAAAAAAAATGTCTGTGAACACTTTTAAGAAACAATTATTGAAGTTTTATCTGGTATTTTCTCCAGCATCTAATACAAAAACAATAGTAACATTCAAAACTCAAGGTAAAATATAATTCATAAAATATTTTAGTTATGTTTTCAAAGTATAAATCACAAACTCTCATTATTATAGCATCTGCTTTACTTTATTATAAAGGTATTGGTCCTGAACAACATCTCATAGATTAAAGAACAGGTTAGATGCTCCTAAGATTCAGATCTAACCATGTCTAATTTTGAGCTTCTGACCAGAGGGAAGGCACCAGTCAACAACACTTGCCACAACAATGGCTTTACTAGATCTGAACTGAAAAATGGGATTGACTGTCACTCTTATAATGCATCCACAACTAAAAGAGTAAATTGTCTTCAGCAATGTGGTAAAAACTAGAACAAATCATAACTCCTTGTTATAAGACTATTAAAATAATGTTCTTTGTAGTTCGTTTCACTAAAACAAATATTTAAGGGAAACAGAGTTACTGTGGCTCAAAGTTCACTTCATAAACATAAAAGGCCTATATATGGGATATTATTGTGGGTTGTTTAAAAAAAATTGCATAATTCCTTTTAAAAAAAAGATCCTGAACACAAAACAACAGTTTCGATCATTTCTTTAAATAATACTGAAATAAGCATTCATATACAACTTATAAACAACAACATAACACTGGCAATGCTATTATCTGTATACAGATAAAAAATAAAATTACATTAAATACAATTTGGTAGGTAAACAGTATTATCTAGACAGATATAAGAACTTTGGTGAAAAATGACTAAGCAAATACAGCATTCTACAACATTAGCATGATAATGTAATTTTTCCAGTTATAAAAGATCACAGCTAAGATCACACAAAAAATTACAGATAAGACAAAAATAAAAAAACAGAATCCATTCATCAAAAATTCAACAGTGGATAAGGTATCCAAATATAACACACTAAATGAAATTAAAAATGAACTCTACTTAAAACACCAAAAGAAAGAAGAAAAAAAGAATCACAATATGTCAGTTTTAATCCTGAATATTAATCACAAAAAAATACTCAATTCACAAAACTGCTTATCATACTACAGCCAGTATCTAATTCAATATTTGTATGAGAAAAAATTTCAATAATTATCACTTGTCTAAGAACTTATTTGCTACCTGTTACATGTAATAAATTGTATGATCCAATTCAGTAAAATGTTTACAATAAATAATAATTTTTAAAAAACCTTGGCATACTTCTGTGAAAAACAATTACTCCTTTTTCTTGATAAACAAACATTAATTGTGGCTGAATTATATAAATCACAATTTAAAAGTGAACGTAAGTTTATTGAGGACGTGCATACAGTGAAAAAATAAATAATAAAACTGTTTTTTTTAATAAAATTTACCATTACATGAACCATAATACACATATGATCAATAAATTAAGCTACTCTTCTCAATTAAATAAAAAAATATTCAATTCTCATTTAAATGTTTAAGTTCTTGGCACAACACAATGTGTAACATACTTAATGGGCATAAGACAATGCATAACATGCTTACTGAGCATAATACAATGTGTAATATGCTTAATGAGCATAAGACAATGCATAAGATGCTTAATGGGCATAAGACAATGCATAACATACTTAATGGGCATAAGACAATGCATAACATGCTTACTGAGCATAATACAATGTGTAATATGCTTAATGAGCATAAGACAATGCATAAGATGCTTAATGAGCATAAGACAATGCATAACATGCTTAATGAGCATAAGACAATGCATAACATGCTTAACAAGCATAATACAATGCATAACACGCTTAACAAGCATAATACAATGCGTAACATGCTTAACAAGCATAATACAATGTGTAACATGCTTAATGAGCATAATACAATGTGTAACATGCTTAATGAGCATGACAATAGGTAACATGCTTATTGAACATAACATAATGTGTAACATGCTTAATAAATTTATTAAGATTTCTTAAGTTCAACACATTTGGAAATTATATTATCTAAAGTGTGCACAACCTTCCATTCACCATATTACATATTCTTAATGTTACATGATCACAACACTGCAGATAAAACAAGATGTTTCTTATTGTTAGGTAAAATGGTGTAACATTCATCAGATCACCAGTAATTTTTAACAGCTCATTTTCTTTAACCTATCACACTATTATAATACACCTTATCTGGCTGTGCTATACTGACTGACTGACCACAGCCAACAGCTGTGAAGTACTTTTACACTACATTGCATTTTAAAATGAATGTTTATTATTCTAAACAGAAATCTAAATAACAATGCACAGGTAAATATTAGTGAATAAACTTTCATTAAGACTATACACATAAAGTAAGATTAAAATTAATTGTGCTTTACTTCATAAAAGAAAACCTCAGTTGAGTTGTTTTTTGTGGTAGATTACACACACACACTTTGTGTCTTGTCACATTCTTAATTAGTTCTCAAAGTGTTAAAAATTATAATGAGTTGTATTTTTATGTAATATCATATAAAACACTGATCAAGTGCTATCCTGTTTTATCATTTACTCAGTTTCCAAACTATTGTTGTCTCATTATTTACCCAATTTTCAAAATGTTACTTGTTATATTATCTATTCAATTTTCAAAATTTTGTTGTGACATGTTATTTACTTATTTTAACTCACATCAGGAAATATTAGTACATTAAAATGAAAAACAGCAATTACACATTTTACCAAACAATTACAAAATTAATAATGTTCACCGTGTTACTCCTGGCATTCTAGAAATCTTAGACCTATTTACGGAACAATTATCACTATAACAAATGTGCAACTTCTTATGTATGTATACTTAGCACAAGATCATACCAAAAATTACGTAAACAAGAAATCCGAGTGTCCTATGTTTTACGCTGAATTACTTGTTTTTACTTTTCTTGTTTTTCCTCCATTGTTTATCTATTTTTATGGAACAATGATTCGATATGCTGATTAATCACAATCCAATTATCCCATATTTCCTTTAACCTTAATCAAATGTTTTGCCCATAGGTAAAAGATTCGTCCAGAGGTTGTGTAGGGTAGTAAGAAGCGACTAATGAACAGACATTGGGTCGCTCTGTACGTAGAAATAACAAGTTGCCATTTTCTTTAAGATTCATAATGTAGGTAAATTAATATGTAGAATTATAAACAGACATTTCTATACGTTAAAATATTTTTATTGCAAACTTTCAGCCTTCTTACCGGAGCCTTCATTGGGCAACAATAAACTGAGCCAATGTGGCTCGGTGCATTGTTGCCAGATGAAAGCTCAAGTAAGATGGCCGAAAGCTCGCAATAAAGGTATTTTAATGTAGATAAAAGTCCATTTATAATTCTACAATTTGCCAGTTCAATGCTTTAAAAGGAAATATTAGTAATGTGTTTGTTATTAAGCACAATGCAACAATGGATATCTGTGCTATGTCCACCATAAGTATCCAAACCCAGATTATAATTTTGCCTTATAAATTTTCAGACTTACTACTGAGCCACCGGAAGGCAATAGTAATGTGACTGTACTTTTAAATTTGACACATGTCCCTCAGAAATTTCACTGCAATAGTTATGTGTTTCATTCTTGTGAACAAACTACAGATTAATAATATATCTCTAATACTTAAAATCTGCATAACAATATTCTAACTTTGATTGTTGTGTGAGAGTTCCATAAGTTCAAGCTAATGGTTAAAGAGAAGATTATAATACTTTTTGTTCTTCACCTGTACAAGTTTTCCAAATCTAATGAAGTAGTAAATTATATATGTAAACAGTTAATTGATCTAGTGTTCATTACTTTGTCTTAAAAATCACCCAGATGTTCAACGTTAGATTTAAAATCATGAAGAATTATTGAAAAAGGAAACATCTATGTTAATAGCTACACAAGTTCACTTCTGGAGTCAAATTTCCCTAGAAATATATTTTTCTCTTAATTTAAAATTCACTTTAGGAATTAGAAGAATGACTTCTATCCAATACACATAAGAAAGCAAAAAACCAACATACACTATCATCTTGAAACAGTTTGTCATACTATAATACCTGCAATAAACTACCAACAACTTGTATAATAATCTAATTTTGGTATGTTTCATTATCTTTAGACGAAAACAAACATATAAAGACAAATGCAGAAGAATAAGTTATGAAAGCAAGGCCTAACATCAGATCAATAAGTCTCTTTAATTACTTGTCTTGTTTACACAGGGAAGTGCTTGAATGAAAGACTTCATAATGTAAGACACTTCACTATGAATACTAACATATCCAACATTCTTATCTTAACATACCCAATATTCTTATCTAACACACCCAATATTCTTATCTTAACATGCCCAAGATTCTTATCTAACATACCCAATATTCTTATCTTAACATGCCCAAGATTCTTATCTAACATTCCTAATATTCTTATCTTAACATGCCCAAGATTCTTATCTAACATTCCCAATATTCTTATCTTAACATGCCCAAGATTCTTATCTAACATTCCTAATATTCATATCTTAACATGCCCAAGATTCTTATCTAACATTCCCAACAGAACTACAGCAATCAGTGAAATCATGACCAACATAATTATTTTGATCTTACAAACTGGTGTTATTTTTTTACTTCCTAGGCACGTGTTTTATATATATTGTGCATTTTTTGAAAATGTTTTATGTTCTAATGACTATTGATTATTATAAATTCAATAAACAACATAAAATACACTTCTTATGACTAGTAATTTAACTGTAAAAACTTACATAAAGCCTTGGGTTTTCAGGTCATAACCTATTCAAGTACTATCCAAGCCAAGTGATCAGAACTGGTATAACCATCAGCAATTATATTTATTATCACTGCAGTATTATTTATTCAACCAACAAAACTCACAAGATGGCACATTACTTGGCATCCATAATTATGAGAAAACACACCATTACGTTCCAAAAACATTCCAAAGCTAACTTAAAGTTCACATCCTAAGTTCAGCTAGCAGTTTCCAATTCCAAAACTTAACCAAATCCCTCATCAACCTGCTGATTTTCTGTCCTATAAAGAGGGTTTAGAAAAGTTACTGGAGATTCATTCTTACATTATTTTAGAGATCAAAAACTCTTCAACTTTAAAACTCCAGCCAATTTTTCTGACTTAATTGTTCATTTAGAGCATCTCTGGACTTTTATTGATCTTTCAGACAAATAAGCTTTACCACTGTGCAATTGCTTTCGTAGACTTGTCTGGTTAAAGATCATATCATCAAATTTACTTAAAAAGTTAAAAACATGCAACAACTGCATTTTACCTTAATTTCATTAATATAAATATATATCTCTAATGATATCACTTCTATGGCTTAAAATTTGATACATGAATCAAGATGTAACTCAGTTCAAAGGCTCAATCTTTACCAAAGAATTGTTCAGAAAATAGCATCTCCATTTAGTCTTAAAAAATAAAATAACCAAAAACATAGGTTACATTTTTATAAGTATGTGCACAAGAATAAAAAATCTGTTTATAATACCCAGTGACTTGAACTTTTAACTAGATACATTTACACAAACCAATAAGAATCAAAGTAAAATATATCACATACATATCCAGCATTAGCAGACTTTTTGATAACTTCAGTTTGTAAACCATTTCCAAAAAACCTAAGTGATATTGCATCCACTTATTTAACAATAAGTAAAATATGGATTGTGTAACCTTCTACACACATTTAGTACCTATGATTTTAAAATTTTAGTAAATTAAATTTTGTATATTTGTCTTTTTATAATGTCTGCAAAACCTGGATATAATAAACTCAGGACGGATTTATAGGAATCGAGTGTATAACACAACATCAGTGTTATAACTTCTCATGCTTGTACATTTCATTTTGACTATTCATAAGTTGTGATATCACCATTACAATATACCTTAATACTACCAAGTTTCACATTCTATCGTTTTATCTTACATTAGGTTACTTTTTTTACAGGTTAAGCATATAATTTTTAAGCTTTTCATAGTCTGAAGAGGCCACAGATTCAAAGCTGGAATCCAGCTGATGAACTTCTACAACACCAGTGTCCATAGAGATAGCCTGGAATAGAACAAAAACAATACATGCCCATTTTATAAATGCAACATAACAAGTGTTCAAAGCAATACCCTGTAACAAAACAAAACAACAGATATCTCTTTCTTGAGTTCAATCAAACCTGTATACTTGGGGATAAGGTCATTACAATCTAATACCTAATCTTATTTATAATAAAATAAAGTGATTTACTTTAATAAATGTTTCAAAACTTATTCTAAACAAAAAATATTCAACTAACTTTTCACATAAGATGTTAACAAGTGATGTGAAATGCAATAGTACAACAAATAATAGAAAAACAAAACATTACAACAGGAAGCTGTAATAAAGGCATTTAAATTATATTAAATATTCCAAAATGATTAGCTCTTATAAAAAACAAAAACACCATTTTCCAGGGTAATATACTTTGACCATGAAAGGAAAAATATGATATCCAGGACCTCAACTTTAGCACTTCTGTAGAAACTATACAAGGTTACTGACACTGCTAAAGAAATTATATAAGATTACTTGCACTGCCACAGAAGCTATACAAGGTTACTGGCACTGCCACAAAAGCTATACAAGGTTACTGGCACTGCCACAGAAGCTATACAAGGTTACTGGCACTGCCACAGAAGCTATACAAGGTTACTGGCACTGCCACAGAAGCTATACAAGGTTACTGGCACTGCCACAGAAGCTATACAAGGTTACTGGCACTGCCACAGAAGCTATACAAGGTTAATGGCATTACTACAGAAGCTATACAAGGTTAATGGCATTACTACAGAAGCTAAACAAGGTTATTGGAACTGATACACAAGCTATACAAGGTTATTGGCACTGATACACAAGCTATACAAGGTTAATGGCATTACTACAGAAGCTATACAAGGTTAATGGCATTACTACAGAAGTTATACAAGATTAATGCCATTACTACAGAAGCTAAACAAGGTTATTGGTACTGATACACAAGCTATACAATGTTATTGGCACTGATATACACAAGCTATACAAGGTTATTGGCACTGATACACAAGCTATACAAGGTTATTGGCACTGATACACAAGCTATACAAGATTAATGGCATTACTACAGAAGCTAAACAAGGTTATTGGCACTGATACACAAGCTATACAAGGTTAATGGCATTACTACAGAAGCTATACAAGGTTAATGGCATTACTACAGAAGCTATACAAGGTTATTGGCATTACTACAGAAGCTATACAAGGTTACTGGTATTATTACAGAAGCTAAACAAAGATATTTTTTGAAGTTTTTGTACTTGACTGTCTCAGCCACTACCTATCTTTAAAATATGTTACTGCTGGTTTAATATTTATAACAGTTGGTGAAGTGTTTTATTTTTAGGCACAAAACTACACAAAACATTATCTGTGCTCCGCCCAATGCAGATATCAAAAACTGATTTTTAATATTATTAGCCCACTGAATTACTACTGCTGAGCCAATGTGGTGCACTGGTGAAGTGAACTAAATTATGTTATTTTATTACTCTACCCAGTCTGTCTGACATTTACTTTGCAATGAAATTAGTAAGGAATATCTGGAAGTGTTTATTAGTAGCACACTTACTGAAAAATTATTCTATTAAGATATCTCAATAATTAATGCATGCTTTTTCATAACAAACAGTAATCAATCCATACAATTTTCATAATGTATTAGTCACTTTTGAAATATTTAACTATTGCTCTGGTAAAATTCGAAGACAACTTCTGGCAATAGTTATGAAAAACAAACAACCTATACTCTCCAGAGAACAATATAAAAAAAAAGTTTTAAAAGGTTTTTATTATTAACTGGAGAGTAATGGTCGTTTTTTTATAGCTTTATTGCCAAAATGTCTAAATCCCTCCAATGTGGACTACTAATTCTGAAGAACAACAAAATAAGAAAATTTGTATTATAACGAGTAGAGAAAAAATCCCATCTTTTTAACCCTAATGTAAACAGTTTTAACCTAAGCTTTTTTCTTGCCACCTCAACACAAAAGCAATATATATACACGCACACACACAGCTGAATGCCTTACATATTTATTTTTATAAAATTTAATTTCTAAGTAAATTGACCTTGTTGGATTTTTTTGTGCAAGTACTTATTGTTATTGAAATTTTTACATATCAGTTTCTTGACAAGTAAAAAAAAAACTTAAAATATTTTACAATGAATAAAAGGACTTACAAGTTGTGGTTGTCCACCAGATGCTGCCAAGGACATGATATTTGGATCACAACTTACAGCAAAATGTGTTATCTGAAAAAAAAAAAAGGAAACTAGGATGATTCAAATAAATTACACAAGACATCAAAAACAAAAAAAACAGTTTAAATGATTCTTGAATCTAAGGAATGGAAAGGCATGAAAGAGTTACTAACACATGATGCCCCATTCTAACAAACTGATGTTTTAAAACTAATGTACAGATCATCATTTTTTACTTTTGTGTTACACTTGGGCAAATTTAACATTTCCTTACACTGAAAAATGTATTTCCAATCTGTACTTAACTCATCTCACACAAAACTATCTTAATTTTCTTTCTGCCCTCTAAGCATTGCTAAAGAAAATTTTCATGCTCAGTGCACCAGTTTTTGTATCCCACCACTATTGAACACATACATAGCATGTGACTACTCTCCAGCAATAGCATTGCGTTACCTATACTAGTGCAGCTAGCTCTCTCTGCTATTCCTACTCAATCCTTACTTTTGTGAATGGGCAGGTTCTAAAATAATAACACTGGCAATGGAGAGGAAGGGTGGGAAGTGTGTGAGTGAAGTTAAGTACCTAACTGAAATAAAATTTTAGTGTTAAAAAAATGTTAGCTTCTGATAAGGTCTTACCCCTTTTCATATAACTCTAGAATCTGACATTACAAAGGTGGAGGGGCAGGTGTAGGTGCATAACGTTGAAACCAAGTGGAAAGCAACCATCAAGAATGAATAGGTGTGCTCCGAATGAACTGAAGCACACGTGGGTACCG